TGCAGGAGGGGAGGCGCTGGGGTGATTCAGAGGCGCTGGGGGATTCTGCTGCTTGGTGTCTCTTTGAGGGATGTCTGTGCAGGTGGGGCACTGGGCCCCTTGGCAGCCTGAGAAGGCTCCAGAGACCTCAGCCTGGAGATCTGGGCTTACCTGGGACGACAACTCAGCTGTAAGATTAGTTTTATATGAGATTATTTATTTATTTATTTTGCTTTTTGGGTCATACCTGGCGATGCACAGGGGTTACTCCTGGCTCTGCACTTAGGAATCACTTCTGGCGGTGCTCGGGGGATCATATGGGATGGTGGGAATCGAACTCAGATTGGGCCGCGTGCAAGGCAAATGCCCTACCCACTGTGCTCCAGCCCCGAGATTTTTTTTTAAGTGCATTGAGAAAAGAACCAGAGTTACACTCTATAAGTTCAGTTTTCCGAGAAGATATGAATGTAAGTGTGCCATAGAACAGCAATGAAATATGTGAAGCAGGGATGGACAGGATTGAAATAACTAGGCAAATTTCAGTTTCAGATTTTATGATCAACTTTAGAATTGGACAGAATTAGTGGGATATTGTCATCCCAGTGGCTCTAATTGGCAGTTATAAAATACCCCACCTACAATGATAGAATATACACATTCTAAGTACACATGGAGTAGCCACTGAGATAAAACCACATCCAGATTATGAAAAAATAACCCAAGGGGCCAGAGAGATAGTACAGGAAGTAGGTGCTTATCTTGCATGAAGACCAGGTCTGGTTCAGTCACTGGTACACAGATGGTCCCTGAGAGACCTGCGGTCACTCCCGAGTATAGAGCCCGGAATAATCTCTGTTGGATGTGACCTGCCCAGTATTAACAAACAGAAGAATTGAAGCGACTAAATTAGAATAAAAACTAGTTGTAGAAAGATAGCAAAGAACTCAACTCCGCAAATGTCACTACTAGTCCCATGGACTACAAAAAGTTTCAAGGGAAATTAAAAACAAAATTGGGGGAGGAAGGTCACACCTGGTATTGTTCAGGACTTAGTCCTGTTTTATTGTCATGGCTCACTCCTGGCAGGGCTCAGAGACCATGTGTGGTGCGGGAGATTGAACCTGGGCCAGCTATGTGCAAGGCAAATGCCTTATCTGCTATTATATCTTTCTGGCCTCTTGAGCTGACAAATGAAAACATCACATTTGTAGCAAAACAGAACAAATCTGTGGGTTATCACCAAAGATGTGCTAAGTGACACTAAGCACTTAATATAATCAATAATTTAAACTCCTGCTTTATGACACTAGATTGAAGGACAAAATAAACTCCGTCATAACAGAACAAAGGAAGTAATATAGAGCAGAAATGAATTTAAAATTGAAAACAGGCAAAACAGGAAGTCACTGAAATACAAAAAAAATTTTGAGGGTGGTTTTGTTTTGTTTTTACCAAAACAACAGAAGAGTGAAATTCTCAGAAGCCTTTGGCCAGACTGGCAGATTACAAAGAAGGAACAGGGGCTAGAGAGCCAGTCGGGAGGGAGTCAGTGGATGGCTTTGCAAGTGGCCGGCCAGAGTGACCAGAGTTAAATCCCTGCCGGGAGTGATCCCTGAGTGCAGAGCAGATCTGTGGGGTATGGTCCCAAAACTTAAGTTTAAAAAAATTGGGGGCCAGGACCATCGTACAGCTGGTAGGGCAAGTTCAGTCTCCAACATCCCATGGGGTCCCCCAAGCAACCAAGCGACGCCTGGAGTAAGCCCTGCTCATTGTTGTGTGCCCCGCCCCCACCCCACCCCTCAAAAAAAAAAAAAGAGAGAAGAGAAAAGAGAGGAAAAGAAAGAAGAAACAACAGCTTTAGTTAACTATTTCTGTTGTAGCAAATAGCTGTAAACTGACCGGTTCTAAACAATAACAATTTCGTTACAGTTCTGGCAGTTAGATTGCAGATCTAGCTGGGATGAACTCAAGTCATCCCCAGGACTGTTCCTTTCTGAGACTGGTGGAGAATCCATTTCCTTATCTTTTCCTACCTCCTCGAGCTTGCCAACATTCCTGGGCTCGGGGTCCCTCTCCGGTCAAAGCCAGCCGCAGCCGCAGGTTTCGTTCTCCTCACAGCATCTTCTGACTTTTTCTTTTGCTGCCTTCTTCCCGTTTACGATTCCTTGGTTTTCTATGGATCCATTCAGATAATATCCCTATTTTAAAATTTATTTTGCAGGGGTGGGAACATTTGGCCACCTCTCATGTACTCAGGGCTTACTCCTACAGTGCTCAGGGGACCATATGAGGGACCAGGGTCTACCGGGTTTGTTTATCTGTTTATTTCTTGCCTTTTGGGTTACTCCTGGCTTATGCACTCAGGAATTTCTCCTGGCGGTGCTCGGGGGACCATGTGGGATGCTGGGAATTGAACCGTTGTCGGTTGTGTGCAAGGCAAACGCCCTACCCACTGTGCTATATTGCTCCAGCCCTCTACCGGGTTTAGTGGTATGTGAAGCAAGCTCCTTACCCACTGGACTATCTCTTCAGCCCCGGTCTTGCTGTTTAAAGTCAACTGATTATCAACTTGAATTCCATCTTCTACCAAAATTCTCTTTTGCTGAGGATGCAGCTCTGTGATACAGTACAGTGCTTTTCAGCCCTTGTCTGAGCATCGATCCTTTCCAGTCTGATTTATTTCCTGTCAGTTGCTGCCCGCTTGCCCACCCTCACCCCCCATTTATGTGATTTTTCACCTGTGTCCCCCTTGGAATATCCTGGGGGCCATATGATCTCCCAACCCCCCCCCCCCCACCAGTGTAATACTGCATGCTTTGTATGTGTGAGGGCTCTGGGTTTGATCCTGGCACCAGTATAGATAGATACATCTCTTTTGTTGTGTATGTAACATCACAGGTTTTAGGATTTCCAATGTAGACCTCTTTGGGTGAGGTGGGGCTGTTATTCTGCCCATCACAATTGCATGATACTCCAGTTCACCTAGGAAGAAATGGATTTTCTACACGGGGGTTCCACCTCACTCCTGTCCCCAAGAGCGTCTGTTATATATATTGCCCTGAATATACCTATTTTAGGTATCTCATAAGTGAAATGATACCGTTCTTTTGTAACTGGCTTATTTTTCTTACACTGTTTCAAAGTTTCATTCCTGTTACCCTAATTGTTTTTTGACAGTTTCAAAAGGCAATTAACAGAAAAAGGATATATTCTTAGCAAAGCTGTTGAAATAGCTCATCTATAAACAAAATTATGATTCCCAATTTGAATCTTTTACCCTATACAATAGCTAACTCATAGTGAGTTATTACATCTAACTAAAATTCTTAAATCTCTCAAACTTTTCAAAGTAAATAGGTCTTTGTGACTCAGGCCATGCGGTAAAGGGTTTGTGTGTCTCTGTGTGTGTGTGTGTGTGTGTTGTGCTCAGTACTTCTGGCTTTGAATTCAGTGATCACGCCTGATGGGGCTGGGGGCAATATAGGGTGCTGTGTGGATTGAGTCCCAGTTGTGCCTAAGGCCCTTGCCTTCACACAACCAACCCACTCCCGCCCATTTCTTAGAAGTAACTATGCGTGGGACCGGAGCAGTAGTACAGCAGGTAGGGGGTTTGCCTTGCACTTGGCCAATCCAGGTTCCATCTCAGCGTGTTTTGCCGAGCATGGCTGGGTTGGTGTAGGTAGACCTTGGCACCACAGGGCCAGGGCAGTACCTCGTCCTTGGGCCTCAGCACTTAACTTTCTGTCCAAATGAGCCAAGAATCGCTGATAGCCCAACTTTTCACAACCCCATCTGGGGTTCATGACTCACAATTTAAGAGGCCGGGGCTAGATGATATCTTACCCCAGAACAAATTCTTTAGTGGAATTCCCAGCCTGGCTGGGAGTGTGGAGCTTCAGTCTGGTCTTAAGGAAACCTCACGCAAACTCACAGTGAAGAACTTTCTCTGTCTTTAAAGAGCCTGTTGGTGGGACCAGAGCCATAGTGTGACGGGCAGGGCAGCAGGGTGATAGCAGACCTGGGTTTGAGCCCCCTGATGCCCTGGCATTTCACGTGGTCCCCCAGCACTGCCAGCAGTGATCCCTGAGGGCAGGGCCAGGAATCTTCCCCGAGCACCAGAGGTGGCCCAAACAAGCAAAAGGGGGAGCCCGTTACCAGTCTTGGGGAGCAAGAGGACTGGGCAGCTCAGTGTGCCAGAGCAGGCGCTTTGCATGCTGGCGGCCCAGATTCCACAAATCCTCCGGGTGTGTACCCCGAATTCCCTCCCCCCCTCCCCCCCAAAAGAGGATGCAAGTTGGGAACTGCTAAAGACCAAAGGAATTTGAAGACACGCAATATGGTAATGCAGTATGTGATCCCAGTCTGGGGCACGCGCCGAAGGGGAAAAGTGCGATAAAGTCTAGCACAAGGGGCTGAAGAGAACTGCTTGCTTAGATCTACGCCCGGCATTGCCAAGTGTGACTCTACCGCAACCCCAGCTAGCGTTGAGGGCCTGGGCGGTAGCTCCCCAGGCTCAGTGCTGGGCATGTGGAGGAACCAGTTCCATCCTGCATGCTGCGTGGCAGAGAGAATCAGAGATTGCAGTATGGATGACACATTAGATTGGGGGGTTGTTTGTTGTTTTTGCTTTATTGGTATATTTTGGGTCACACCCAGTGATGCTCAGGGGTTACTCCTGGTTCTCCACTCAGGAGTCACTCCTGGTGGTGCTTGGGGGACCCTGTGGGATGCCAGGGATCAAACCCAGGTCAGCCATGTGCAAGGCAAATGCCCTGCCCACTGTCTGTCGCTCTGGCCCCTCAGACGCTGTTATGCGTTTCTAGCCGGCCCCATCTGACACTCTCGGTCTCTGCGCTGCGTTAGCCTCTCGAGTTGCCCGAGGCGGGCAAGATCACGCTTGGGAATAAATCCCCTTCTTCCCCCACCGCATCACTTCTTGAGTGCCTTGAAGATTTCATCATACTCAACTGATGTGTAATTCTATTAACATAATTTATTACACTTTTTTTTTCCTCTCTTAGCCCAAAATGGAGTTAATCCTGACTGGGAGAAGAAAGTAATTGACTATTTTAAGGAAAAGCTGAAAGAAAATAATGCTCCAAAATGGGTAAGTTTGCTTCTGGGGGTTGGGACATCTGGGGGTAGTGAACAGCGGGGCTGATTTTAGATTTTAGACATATAAACTTAATATAGATAAATTGATGTGCCACTTTCTGTCTTTATAAATGTTAAGACTTGGGGCTGGAGAGATAGCACAGCTGGTAGGGTGTTTGCCTTGCACGCGGCCAACCCAGGTTCGATTCCCAGCATCCCGTATGGTCCCCTGAGCACCGCCAGGAGTAACTCCTGAGTGCAGAGCCAGGAGTAACCCCTGTGCATCACCAGGTGTGACCCAAAAAAAAGCAAAAAAAAAAAATGGTTAGACTTAATCTTTTAAATTTTTTAAAAATTAAAAGATTTTAAGCTTAGAGGGCCAGAGAGAGATAGCACAACAGGCAAGGTACTTGCCTTGTATGCAACAGACTTGGGCCTGATTCCTGGCACCACATATAGTGCCCGGAAGGGATCTGTAAGCACAAAGCTAGTAGTAAAACCTGAGCACAGCTGGGTGTGGCCTAGCACTCCCCCCACCACACACCCAGGGGTGGAAATTACAGATGTTTCTTCTGTTTGTTTTATTTCTGGTCTCCTTCAGTGAAGCATGGTGTTTAGGTTTACTCCTGACTCTGCACCCAGGAATCACTCCTGGTGGTAGTCAGGTGACCAGATGGGGATGCTGGCAGCAGATGCAGGTGCAGGTCAGGTGCCCAACCTGCTGTAACTCTCAGGTGCCATCCCAAGCCACAAGATTTTCTTCTTTGGGGGCCAGGTCCAGAGAGATAGCTCAACAGGCTGAGTGCATGCTCAGCTTTTGGGAGGCCCAGTTGGATTCCCAGCACTGCATGGTTCCCAAGTTCTGCTGGGTCCAGTAACCATGGGCTACTGGGCGTGGTTCAGAGACTTTCTGTGCATCCACACCCACAAAGATCTTCACCTGCCTAAATTCAAGCCATTAAGTGCTTCCATAATAGTACCTCTAGGTGGCAGTAATCAACTATTTCTTCCTTAGGAAAGAAATGGTAGTGATGAGAGCTTTGATTATTTTTTTTTACCTTGATTTAAAAGATTAATGTGTACTTATTTTCTTTTTCCACACTCAGCGGTACTCAGGTTCTGTGTACCTGGTTCTGTGCTCAAGAATCACTCCTGGTGGGCTCATGGGGACCATGTGGGGTGCTGGGGATGGAACCAGGGTTGGCTATATGAGAGGCAAATGCCCTACCTGCTGTACTGTTGCTCAGGCATGTACTAGTTTTAGGAGCTCGGTGAAGCGACTCTTTTTCTGCAAATCAAAATTTTTTTCAGTGAAAAGCATCCTTTTCACATTTGTCAGAAACTGTCATACACACTTGGAAGAATTAACTCAGTCCTTGAGGTTGGAGACATAGTACCGAGCAAGTAGGACACTTGCCCTGTACACAGCCAGCTGGGTTAGATCTCCAGCATACCATATGGCCCCTCTAAGCACCGTCAGGGGTGGTTCATTCTCAAGTGCAGAGCCAAGAGTAGCCCCCGAGCATTGCGGGGTATGATCCCAAAACAAAACAAGAAATAGTTCTTTAATCCAGCGATTTTTGAGATTCATGGAGAGGACATATACATCATCGTTTGGGGCTTACTTCTGACTCTGTGGTGCTCAGGGTAGCATATGTCGTACTCAGGAGTGAGCCGGAATCTACCCTGTGCCAGGCAAGCAAGTGAGGGACCCCTATACTATCAGTGCAACCCCTCCAGCAGTTTTATTGTTAACTCTTGAGTCCATTTGGCTCCCTGATGGCTTTACTTTGTACGTGTGTGTGTGTTTGTGTGTGTGTGTGTGTGTGTGTGAGAGAGAGAGTTTGAGTCTGAATATGTAGGCTTCTTAGGCAATATATCTGTAATGCTAATGTCTTATGGATAGACTGTTAACTTGTTTTTTTCCCTTTGAAGGTACCATCATTAAATGAAGTTCCACTCCATTATTTGAAACCTAACAGTTTTGTAAAGTTTCGTTGTATGATTCAGGATATGTTTGACCCTGAGTTTTACATGGGAGTCTATGAAACAGTTAATCGAAACACAAAAGCACGGGTATGTATGAAACTTTACAATCACTGGTGATTTTGTTTGGGAATTGCTCGTGGTATTTTTGATTCTGATGTGCTGATAAAACCCTGCTGTTCTTTGTTTTCGGTCATAGGTTCTTCATTTTGGAAAGTATAGAGATGTTGCAGAGTGTGGGGTATGTATCTTTAAGATCTCCAGCATTTTTCTTTGGGGGCCGAATCACTCCTGCTGGCCAGGTGCTACCTTCCTTCCAGTTCAAGGGTCATTCCTGACTTTCTCTGGGATCTGTTTTGTTCAGAGGTTGAAAGTTACCCTCCCACAGCAAAACATTTTCTTCAACCAATTGAGCAATTTTTATGAGACTTCAGATTTTTTTTTATAAGAAATTTTACTCTGGTTAATTTTTGTTGTTGTTGTTGTTCTGTTTTGGTTTTGGTTCTGGGCTATCCCTGGAGGTGCTCAGGGATCAATCAGAGTTGGCCACATACAAGGCGAACATCCTCCCAGCCGTACTGTGGCTCCGGCCTCCTTTGGGTGATCTTATTTTTTGTGTGTAAAGGATTTCTTGGAAGCCCTGTGAAGCATCTTTTTCTTTTATTTGAGTGTCTGGTTTATTTTGTAATTATTGTGGGTGCCACACCTGATTGTGCTGGGGGCCACCAAGGCCACACCCCTCAGAGCGCTATGGTGCGGAGGTGGCATTGTAGGGAAGGAAATGAGGTGTCAGGTGGAGACTGGGGGGTTTGGAAGGAAGATGGATCTAGGGTGGGAAACCTCATTTTGGTCAGTTTCTCTGCTATGCAGATCAGAGAAGTTGTTGTTGTTGCTGACTGAATAAAATTCATTGGGGTGATCTAGACAAAAGGACACCAATTCGGGAGACTGCAGAAAAGATTATATTAATAAAGAATGGAATTTAGAATAGTAGGCTCATGGAAGATGGGTTTGTTTGCTTTCACACCTGACAACCTCCCATCGCCTTTTACAGTATTTGCTGAAGGTAAAACAAGCCAAGGCTAATGACTCACTTGTATAAATGCTTACTGAATCCCTTGTTTAGGGAACTCTTAAGTCATACCAGACTAATACAGTAATTTTTTCTATCATTTTTCCTATCGTATAATAATGCAGTGTCACTGCATCTCAGCAGAAGCGCTGGGAAATAGGATGACAAAAACACTGAGAGTCACAGCTCACGTTTGCTGTAGACCGTGCACTGTGTTGCTGGTGCTGTAAGTAAGGCACCGTTGCTAGAAAGGAGGACTTTGGTCCTGGGCAGACCAAGAAGGCTTGATTTTATGTGTTATCTTGAGTCAAATGTGGTACTTTGAGTTATTTTTTTTTCCCCTACAGAGTGAAATTTTAATTATTTTTGTGTTTATTAGATTTTAGTGTTCTCTCTCAGGCATTAACTATTTAAAATTTTCTAATAGAGACTGGGTTTTTGTTATTTTTGTGTTTTTGGACCACGTCTGGCCGTGCTCAGAATTTACTCCTGGCTTTGTGCTCAGGGATCACTCCTAGAAGTGCTTATGGGACCATACATGATGCTGGAGATCAAACCTAGTTGACGATGTACAAGGACCGCACCCTGCCTACTGTGCAGTCTCTTTGACCCTAATGTAATTTTTTGGGGGTTGTTTTTGGGCCACGCATGACTGTGCTCAGGGCTTACACCTGACTGAATCATTCCTGGTGGGGTTCAGGGGGCCATCTGGAAGGCTGCGGATTGAACCCAGGCATGCAAGGCAACCCACAGTATGATCTCTGGCCCTATGATGGTTTTCTAAATAACATAAAAGCGTGGTTGTTAATTACATTTCTTGTCTGCTTTCCATATACATAATAGCCTCAACAAGAAGTTGATTTAAACTCTCCGAGAACAACCACTCTGGAAAGACAAACTTTCTATTGTGTACCTGTGCCTGGGGAGTCTACATGGGTGAAAGAAATATCCTTTACTTGTGTGTTGGATGGTTTCTGATCATTATTTGGAAAGATCACAGTTCCACTTCTGCATTATCACACTAGTGAACTTAGCTTTATTTTCGTAAAATGTGAGTCATTCCAAAGAAAATTTGTAAAGCAGTTTTAAATGTCTGTCACTGAGAGATAACTAATGTTAATTGATGGAACACCATTTTTGTTTGTTTGGGGACCACCTGGCAATTCTCAAGGATTACTCCTGGCTCTGCTAAGGGATCACTTCTGAAGGTGCTTGAGGGACCTTATGGGATGCCAGGAACCAAGCACAGGTTGGCTGCATGCACGGAAAGCTCCCCGCTCGCTGTATTATTGCTCTGCCCCTGAAACACTTTTCTTTTTTTTTAATAGAGGTCGTTTAAAACATACCAAGTAGAGGGTACCACATAAGTAAGAATAAAGTTTTCAAGGTGGGCTCTCTTTAATTTTTCTTTTATTGTTATTTTGGCCACACTTGGTTCTCAGGGGCTACTTCTAACTTTGTGCTTGGGAATTATTCCTGGCAGTGCCCAGGGGACCATATCATGCCAGGGACTGGACTCAGGTCTCCCTCATGCAAGGCTTGTGCTCAGTCTGTTGATTCTCTCTCTCTCTCTCTCTCTCTCTCTCTCTCGCCCTTATTTTAATCTTTTTCATTTGTTTGTTCTTTTTGGGGCCATCCCTGGTGTTGCCCAGGGCTTATGCCTGACTCTATACTCGGGGATCACTCCTGGCGAGGCTCAGGGGACCATATGGGGTGTTGGGGATCAAACCCAGTTGGCTACGTGCAAGGCAAGCGCCTTACCCGTTGTACTGTCACTCCACTTTGGCCCCGAATTTTTTTCCCTTTCCTTTTTTTTTGCTTTTTTTGTCACGCCTCGCGATGCACAGGGGTTACTCCTAGTTTTGCACTCAGGAATTACTCCTGGCCGTGCTCAGGGGACCTTTTGGGATGCTGGGAATCGAACCTGGGTCGGCCGTGCAAGGCCAACACCCTACCCGCTGTGCTTTTGCTGCAGCTCCTCCCTTTCCTTTTTAAAGATCAGATGTGTTTATTCATTTGGAGGTGAGCGTGATGAGAGCCACACCTGCCAGCGGTCAGGGGAGTCTCCTGGCTCTCCGCCAGGTCTGCAGTCAGGCATCTTGGCTGTGCCTCCACCCTCCAGCTCTGTTTTGCCAGAAACCCAAATGGAGCCTTCTGGGCTTGTCTTCTGCTTTTGAACTCCTTTTCCCTCTAGTACAGTTTGCAGATTCCAGTTGCTTTCATTGTCCAGAACTCTTGGCTTTGCTCTCTGCGCTCAGCAAGAGCCGGGCCTTCATTTCTCTTGCAGTTTGGAAAACGCAGAGGGTGAGTGGAGTTTCTTCGGGTCTGGCTTTTTATATCTTGTTTGTTTGGGGGCCACATCCGGAAGTGCTCAGGGATCACGCCTGGTGGAGCTCTGCCAGGGGTCTGGCCCATTCAGTTGCATGCAAGGCCAGCCCCCTACCTTCGGAACTCTGTCTCTCAGACTCGGGCTTAGCCTTCTTTTCAAAAGAAGCTTTTATTTTGAGTGAATTGCCAGACAGATCTTTAGCTCCATGATTAGCATAACAGGATGTTCCTCAGTTCCTTGGAGTCTTTCCTTGACTCTGCCTGTAACGCCTATGTCAATGCGAACCAAGCTCGAGTCAGCCCTTCTACGTCCTACACCCCCAGTCGCCACAAGCGGAGTTACGAAGATGATGAAGATATGGACCTTCAGCCCAACAAACAGAAAGACCAGCACACGGGGGCCAGACAAGCAGGTAGTGTTGCCAGCAGGACCTGCTCTAAACCTCCTCTCCTGCAGTAGACTGCTCTCAGCACTGACGGTTGGGTAATGTGATAGCGCTAGATTCCGGAGCTAGCACCGTTTGTCAGCTTTGTCAGAATTGTGGTCTCGGGAGTGGGTGCTGCTCCCTGGTGAGTGCTCCCTGGTCACAATGGAGCGGGCAGGTCAGCAGCCCTGAGTGACGATGGCTGCTCCACCTGCTGTCCGGGTTAGCCTCGGGCTGAGCTGGAAAATGCCTTCTGGTTTCCTGCACATTTGCTGTCTTGTTTTGGCTTCCACAGCAGATTGATTTCGCACTGTTTCCCCCCGACGTGTTTTTCTGTCAGCTCTTGAATGACTTCTATCTGAAACCACCCTTTCTTCCTTTTTATAGTGGTACTCTAGTCAAACAATAGCAGAGAAAAAAGAAACTGATAGCCTCGGTTTTCACAGCTTCATTTGTTTATATAGGAGTATTAAGTTTTAAAAAATGTAGTGGTTTATTTCTGAAACATACTTAAAATGCAACTGATTCTGATTAGAAAGGACAACTAGGAGTTGAAAATCTTAGCAGCGTGAGGCGCTCAGATGGCTGTGGATCATCGTTGATTTCACAAGTCAGAATTTTTATGAGCAGTGAATTTTTTATGAGACAGTTGGATAGATTGGTCTTTGTTTCTCCTTTTATGTGCCATTACTTCTCTTTGGCACCTTTAATCAGAGACAAGTTAATTGGGAAGATAAAGCCAATTAGTTCAGTTAATTGGTGTCCAAGAGATTGGATTGATAGGGCAAATAGAACAATCAGTGATAAAGTAAGATCTACTGATGGAATTAATTTGATGGTATATTCTACATTATGAGTTTGTATTCGTGTTTTCCTTAATCTAAAGGAATATTTTAGGTGTTTTTTTCCCCCCCCCGCCCCTTGGAGGAGGCAAACACCCTTTCAGAGCTCAGGCCTTCTGTTGGTTGTGTTTGGGTGCTGGAAATTGGACCTGGGTTGACGGCATCTAAGACAGGCGCCCTCACGGTCTGTTGTCTCTCTGGCCCTTGACATTATTCACATTTTACATGAACTTATTGGTGTCTACTCGGTTCTCTGCAACTTGATCGCAATCAGAGGCAGTCATGGTCTCTCGTTGTGTCCCTTGATGTCATTCCTGCCCCTCTCCTGCCTCTTCCTTCGCAAGTCCTTCATTTCTCACGACCACTCATTTTACAAGTTATAAATGGAATCATAGCATGTAAATTTGTGGGTTTTTTCATTCAGCAAAATTCCATTGGATCTGCCCGAGGTGTAGCTGATTTCTTCCCCTCCCCCCGTCCCTCTCCGGCTGCACTTGTTCCTCGGGGCCCACTCAGGGTGGGCCTTAGAGACCATACGGGCTGCCATGGAGCGAACCCAGATAGGCTGGGTACAAGGCTCTACTTAGAACCTGTACTCTGTCTGGCCCTTAATAACGAATTCTCTTTACTTCGCAGTGTTCTGTAGCGTGGCAGCCTGTGTTTTTATTCTAATTAGTTGTCATCAGCTAGTCTGGTTCCAGATACAGAGTGAATGTTAATGACTTACTTAGTTGCTATAAGATTTTCTTCTGTTTGATAAGTAGAAAACAAAAGGAGATTTTACCAAGGAGATTTTTTTTTTCCCCCAAGGAGATTTCTGTGGTCAGAACACATTAGTTCAAAAGATTCGTTAGCTCAAAGATGTCAGAGTAACTATATCAAGTATTTATTTTTCAGAGTTCTTGTACAAGATATATGTTGCTATTTTATTATAAGGGGAAATTATTTAATCTGTCAGATTTTTATAATTATCTTTCTTTTCTAGGTCAAAGTGCTTTTTAATATGGGTATGCCCTTTAAAACTGTAATTAGACATGGGCTTAGAATGTATTATCTCAATTGCGAAAAGCTTTCTAGGAATTCCCCCCACCCCCCTTCCAGGTGGACTTACAAGGACTAACTGTGATGTTTTGAATCCTTTGAGTTTAGGGAGTGTTGGTGGTCTTCAGTGGTGCGGAGAACCCAAACGTTTAGAAACTGAAGCCTCCACTGGACAACAGTTGAACTCTCTGAACCTCTCGTCTCCTTTCGACTTGAATTTCCCACTACCAGGAGAGAAGGGCCCTGCGTGCCTCGTCAAGGTGAAGACCTCTTACAGACCCGCTGTTGACAGAGAGATGTGCTTTATGGGTCTCTCAATGACTTTTTCTTCATTTTGCTTTTGCGCCATACCCCTCTGTGCTCAGGGTTTACTCCTGGCTCTGCAATCAGGGATCTAACCTGGTCTAACCTGGTCTGCCACGTGCAAGGCAAGCACCCTACCCACTGTACTGTCTGGCCCAGCTGAAAGGCTGTTTATAACAACAGATAGGCATTACCCTACAGACTTCCGATCTGAAGTCCTGCCTGGCCTCTCCGGGGTACGATCACGATGTGAGGGGCACTGCACTCCTGCCTCAGACCAGGGGAAAGAAGGCCACGGCCTGGGCCTTCTCAGCTTCCGGGGACTGCCTGCAGCCTTGACTGTGCCCCTTCCTGCAGCCTCAGGTCTCTTGACCGCAGCTGTCAGCTGTTCTCTGGGACCTGCCCACTGTGCACATCCAGAATAATTTCTCCGCCGCCGGGCTTCAGGGCTGTTCATTTATGCAGGCCCATTTACATGTAACAGACCAGACCGTGAATTGGGGGGCGTGTGGGCAGGTGGGTGGGGAGACCCCAGAATTTTGTCTGTTTTTTGCTTCATAGCATTTTGTTGGGGGCCATACCAAGCTGTGCTCGGGGATCACTCCTGGGCTGCCAGAACCATATTGGGCTGGGGATTGAGCCTGATGGGGCTGCGTTCAGGACAAGCTCCTTACCCCACTTACTGTCCCTTCAGCACCTCTTGCAGTTCTTGAGAGTATCACAGTATCACAGTCCTCCCGTTGTTCATTGATTTGCTCGAGCGGGCCCAGTAACGTCTCCATCGTGAGACTTGTTGTTACTGTGTTTGGCATATCGAATACGTCACGGGGAGCTTGCCAGGCCCTGCCGTGCGGGCGAGATACTCTCGGTAGCTTGCCAGGCTCTCCGAGAGGGGCGGAGGAACCAAACTCGGGTCGGCCATGTTGGCCGCTTGCAAGGCGAACGCCCTACCACTGTGTTATCGCGCAGTTCTTAAGAATTGAAGAGTATATCAGAAATAGGTGAGGAAGCTTCTAAATTAGTGCCTCCTTCCTCCCAATACCACTCCTAACTGCTCACTTAATTTTCTTCCTTTTCTTACCAAAATCCATTTCTCACTTGTATTTACTGTAAAATTAGAGGGAAAAATATTATTTCACTGTTTTCTGTGCTGGGAATTGAAACCAGATTCTCACATAACCTACCAAGTGATCTACTATTGAGAGGCATGCACGTGGCCTTGTTCTGGTTTCTTAGTCCTGACAGGGAGAAAAGTTTAGTGAACTTTCAGACATATCATCGAGGGACTAGAGAGATCGTACAGCAGATAGGGCACCTGCCTTGCACGTGGCCAACCTGAGTTCAAGCCCCGACACTCCATATTATTCCCTGAGCACTGTCAGGAGAGCAGAGCCAGGAGTGACCCCTGAGCATCACAGGCTGTGGCCTAAAAGCAAAAATGATCATTGACTATATCTGTTCTTACTTATTGTGGTTTCATTTATGTAATTACCTATCACAGGTGCTAAAATGACTAGATTATCTTCTGTGTTTTTAGGAGACCTTGACAGTCACTAAAGTTTACTAATTTTTTTTATTGGAAAAAAAACCTCCATAATCTTTCTAGGTTTTGTGATGATAATTGTTGATTGTGATGATAATTGATATTATTAGTATAATTTGTGAAAAAAATCAGAACTAATCATCCTAGCTTCTCCCCTTCTCATAGTGTGGTTAGTAGGCTTGAAAATTAGCCACATTTCTGGGCCAGAGTGATACTGAGCAGGGAGGGCGTTTGCCTCACAAGTAGCCAACCGAGATTTAATCGGCATCCCATATGGTCCCCAAGCACTGTCAGGAGTAATTCCTGAGTGCAGGGCCAGGATGAGCATCGCCAGGTGTGACCCAAAATTTGGCAAAGAAAAGAAGCCACATTGCTAGTTTTAGTCAGTTATCATTCTTTTGTGTTAACCCTTTCTTTGAAGTATATGGAATAATGAGAACAAATGCTGTTTCGGCAGTCAGGAGTCCTGTATTGTTAATAGTTGCTAACAAAATTATTTCAGGGAGTGTCTTAATTACTCTTTTGGCCTCAAATGAAGCAGTTGCTTAAGGTTCATTTCTTGAGCCACACTTGTTTATTTCACTTATTTTTACTAATTTGTTTTTTGGCCACACCCAGCAATGCTCAGGGCTTACTCCTAGCAAGTTCTGGGAAGCAGACGGGCTGAGCATCCTACCGCTGTACTGTGCTCTGGTCTCCTGGCCCGCAATTTCATGACAATGACAACTTCAAAAACCAAGATTGCTTCTTTATTTTCTATTTGGACCTAACATGTGGTTCTGTGTGTTTTTTTTGTTGTTAGGTTTATGAAGATTGGGATTGTTTCAAAGTGAACGATGTTCTTGAGCTGTATGGCATCCTCTCTGTGGACCCTGTGCTGAGTGTACTGAACAGTGATGAAAGGTGAGTCTGTTGGCTCTTCTTTTCTTTTTTTTGGGGGGGGGGCGCTACACTGGGTAGTGCTCAAAGTGCTGGGGGCTTACTCCTGGCTCTGAGCTCAGGGCCCACTCCTGGCGTGGCTCGGGGCGCCCTCCTCGCTATTCTGTCTTTCTGGGCCCCACTGGTCTGTCCTCAAACACCGGGGAGGGCGCCCTGTTCTAGGACGTGTGCGGGTGGGGCCTCATTTTGTTTCCTGGGCTGGTACTTGCATCTTTCCCACCGGCCCTCTGATGAAGCTCTGTCCCCTCCTCGCAGGGATGCCTCTTCCCTGCTGGACCCGATGGAGTGCACGGACACTGCTGAGGAACAGAGAGTGCACAGTCCTCCTGCTTCCTTGGTGCCAAGAATCCATGTGGTCTTAGCCCAGAAGCTGCAGCACATCAACCCCTTACTGCCTGCTTGCCTTAACAAAGAAGAGAGCAAACCCTGTAAGTGTAAGAGCTGCTGCTGAGTGTGGGGCACAGGCAGGCCTCACGCGTTTCTCGGCTCCTTGGCCTTCTGTTCATTTTTCTCCTTGGGATGAGGTGTTGGGATTTTTCTTTTTTCCACTGGGGGGTCATGCATCTTGGTGCCTGGGGACCGGGCGGAAGCTTGGAGCCAGGACGCGCAACATGCAACCCGGCGCTTGGAGTCGCTCCTAAGATAAGGTTTCCCAAGCCATTTAGGCTGTCTTACCTTGGTGATCGGCACCTGCAGTGACCGGAGTTTGAAGGCCGGAATGGGCGCACGTCGCCCTGTGGTGCTTCTCTGCACTTCTCACTCGGACCTGAGGGAGGCCAGGTGGGTGGGGGCCGTGCTCTGACCCTGCTCTGTCTCTTCCTTCCCCAGTCGTCTCCAGTTTCATGTCAGAATTGTCGCCGGTCAGAGCAGAGCTGCTCGGGTTCCTCACGCACGCCCTCTTGGGAGATAGTTTGGCTGCCGAGTACCTTATATTACATCTCATCTCCACAGTGTGAGTGCGCGTGCCTTGCGTGAGGCTGACCTGGGTTTGATCCCTGACACCCCATATGGTCCCCCCAGCCTGCCAGGAGTGATCCCTGCATACGAGGATAAGCCTGCGCGCCACCGTGTATGGCCCGGAAGCCAAAAATAAAGAATAAATTCAGATTGAATTTAGGTCGAATAGTAGATTACGTGACTGATGAGTAAAATGAGCTTTTTAAAAATACTCTCTCTCTTTCTATGTTCTGACTTCTCCTTTCTCCCCCAAGACTCTGTGTCTCGGACAGGCAGGTGTGTCCGTGCACTGGGCGCTCGCTCTCCTGGGCATGAATGCGCCTCCCTTAAGTCCACTAGAGTCACATCTTGGCGGGGCCTGTGGGTACCCAGTGGTGCTCGGGTCTTCCTCCTGGTTCTGTGCTCGGGGTCACGGTTGGTGGGGCTTGAGTGCTCATATGCAGTGCCGGCGGGTGCGTGCGAGGCCGGCGCCTTTGCCGTCTCTGGCCCTGGAGAGACTTGTCGAGGTTTCAGCTCCTGCCCCTTCAGCAGAGAGCATGGGCAGAGTCTGGTCTGGAGGCTCCCGGTTGAGCCGTCGTACCAGTCACACCCGGTTCGTAGTCTGTCATTCTCCTTACGTATGTACGTATCCCTCTATCAATCTCACTTAAAACGCAAACAAATATGTATCTTTTCAGTAATGTTAAACACTCTCTTGCATTCATTCTACATAAGCTGCTTCTTACACTTCTGTATATAGTTGTTATAGATGTACCATTTCCCTAAGAATTGGGATTTCCTAGTTCGCCCCATTTTAACACACTGCATTAAGCCTCTGGGTGAGTGAGGCAGGAGCAGCCGGTGTTTGAAAGCAGACCGCCTGGCCTCACTCCCAGCTCCCGCACTTCGTGGCAGTGTGAACCTGGGCAGCCTGCTTAAAATCGCTGTGCCTTGGGGCCGGAGTGACAATACCTCGGGTAGGGCACTTGCCTTCCCTGGGCCCACCCGGGTTGCGTCCCAGCGCCCCTTAATGCCCTGAGCACTGCTCAAGTAAACCCTTGAGAACTGCTGTGTGTTGCCCAAAACCAAGAAAACAACCACAAAAAATTTCTGTGCCTCATCTTTCCTTTCTGTAAAACAAAAGACTTGTGGGGCTAAAGAGCAAATGGATTTAAGATTCAGAACAAAATTTTGAGATTTGGCCCTTACAAATAAATACAAGGTAGAACTTCTATGTGCCACTTTTGTGGGCAGGAGAGATAGTACAGCGGGTCGGGCTCTTGCCTTGCACACGGCCGACCTGGGTTAGATTCCTGGCATCCTGTACGTTCCCCCAAATACTGCCAGGAATCATTCTCGAGTGCAGAGTCAGGAGTAAGCCCTGAGCATTGCCGGATGTATTGCCCCCAACAAAACAAAATGCTGCTGCTGACCAGAGTAATCTTTATGTTTTGCTGAAAATTGGGTAATCATTTGAGTATCTCATTCATTGATGCCTTTTTTAATTTTTCTAGATATACAAGAAGAGATGTTCTTCCTCTAGGAAAATTTACCGTCAACTTAAGTGGTTGCCCACGAAACAGTTCCTTCACAGAGCACTTGTATCGGATCATTCAACATCTTGTGCCTGCAGTAAGCATAGTATAAATACAGATTATAAACCTAATTGCATTTAAAAAACACTTCTAGGGGTTTTTCGAGATCTCATTAAGGGGGGAAAGCATAGCCACTAGGTTCCACAACTGAAAATGTCCTCAGGTATTTCCCTTTATTTCTCTTCTCTTTCCTTGTTAAGATCTGAGATCAGACACACCCTGTTGTGCTCACCAGTGGCTGTGTATTTTGCTTGCGTACATGCCTATCAGGAGTTCTAGTTTATACTTTGTTGTAGTTTGTTTTTGAACCACACCTAGTGATGTTCAGGGTTGACCCTGCTCCATTTTTTTTTAAGCGAAAAAGAGACAGTACAACAGATAAAGTGCTTCCCTTGCACACAGCCAGCTGGGGTTCAGTCCCTAGCATCTCCATTGGTTCTCTGAGTCCCCCAGGAGTGAGTGCAGATCCCTGAGCACTGCTGGGTATGACCCGAAAACCAAATAAGCAGTCATTTATCTCTAGTTTTATGTCTGTGAAAATAGTTGTATAGAAATATTTAATTTCGAAAAGAATTAGCTAGTAAGAGTTGACATAAACAACATCCCATTAAGTTTTGATTTTTTTTTTTTTTTTTTTTTTTGCTTTTTTTGTGTGATGCATAGGGGTTACACTCCTGACTCATGCGCTCAGGAATTACTCCTGGCGATGCTTGGGGGACCATATGGGATGCTGGGAATCGAACCTGGGTTGTCAGCATGCAAGGCAAACGGCCTGCCTGCTGTGCTATCACTCCAGCCCCAATTTTGATCATTTTTTAAGAGTGAAGTGAGTTGAGGCGGGCCATGGGAGCGGGACAGGGCCTGAGGAAATGGCAGGGCGGGCTGCAGCAATAGTTTTGCCCGTCATTGATGAGGAAGTCGCGTGGGAGTTAAAGGTAGACTGTCACAGGCCAGCGTAGGGCGTTTCCTGGGCCTGAGTTTGCAGGAAGGCCGGCAGCTGGGGGTGGGGTGCTGGGTTGGGTGCACTGCGCCCCTGGAGTAGAGGGAGGCTTGGGGGCCCACATTGGGGCGAGTTTGCTCGCGTGCTCCTTGGGCCTCCCCCACTGTCTCCTCTTGGGCTTGTCACTAAACACTCGCCTCTTGGGCACGAGAGCCGCAGTACGGTGGGCGGGGAGCTTAATTGGCAGGCCAACGCCCTCCCTCACACCCCCACCCCCGAGAGCTGGCCTCCTGAGTGTTTATTGTTCACATAGACTGAGGGGCAAGGCTGAGGGAGGGCGCCGCTGTGCCGTGGCCCCCAGACGGCCGCTCCAGGGCTCTCCGAGTCTCTGACATGGTCTCTCCCCTCCTGGCCCGGTGTCGTCCACTCAGCTGTCTGTGTGCGGCTCCAGGGACAGCCTCGGTGGAGTTGGCTGTGTGTCCTTTGGCACCCGCCCAGGCCCGCTGAGCTCTGCTCCCGGCGTTCCTGGACAGTGTTCAGAAGTCCAGAGTAGCGAATGATGAGTAATTTCAATTCAAGGGCGTCTTCTCCTTCTGTCTGTGAGTGAAATGGATGTTCTGTTTTCTGTTTGGTTAGCATATGGCAGTTACAGACACTAGACTTCTGGATAGTCGATTATGTTTGTCCACTGTTTAACGTTTCTTGCTCGTTTCACTCATAAAAATGCAGAAAAAGGCAGTTGAGAATAAAACAGTCCTATAATGAAATTCTTACTTCAGACATAAATCTTGTTTCTTAAAGTGCAGGAAATCATAAGGAGGCTCAGAGCGATAGTACCACGAGCAGGGTGTTAGCCTGCACATGGCCAACCTGAGTTTGGTCCCCGGGATCCCAGATGGTTCTCTGAGCACCGCCAAGAGGGATTCGTATATGTGAGCCAGGAGAAACCCCTGAGCACCACTGGATGTGGCCCAGAATTCTAAAAAAAAAAACACCAAAAAAACCCTACAAAGATCATGAGACTACCCCTTAGAAATGCATAAGGACATTCAGTATGCTTACTAGATATTTTAAGACAGGCTTTGTGTCTTGGCTTACTCAGACATTTCTCTCCGCAGTCTTTCCACCTTCAGATGACGATTGAGAACATGAACCATCTGAAGTTCATTCCTCACAAAGACTACGCGGCCAACCGCCTGGTCAGCGGGCTCCTGCAGCTGCCTAGCAACACCTCCCTCGTCATCGACGAGACCGTCCTGGAGCAGGGCCAGCTCGACACCCCAGGTCAGCACCATTTGCCTCCGACCTGCTCCCCGCCCAGGGGCTCGCCCAAGGGGCTGCCGTGAGCCAGGACGCATTTCCCCTGCCGCACTAATGTGGCCAGGTTCTATATTAGACCCTAACAGACGTGCAAAACTGTTTGTGTTTGTCGTTAAATTACGAAAATAATTCAGTGGCGAAACAAGTAGCTCGCAAGTATCTTGAAATTGAGGATGGGGCCAGAGCGATAGCACAGCAGGTAAGGTGCTTTTCCTTGCACACGGCCGACCCAGCCTCAGTTTCCGGCACCACACAAGCCTCCTCAAGCCCCTCTAGGAGGAAGCCCTGGGAACTGCCAAGTGTAGCCCAAAAGCCAAAACTAACTGCCGCCCCCCCCCCCCCCACAAAAAAGTAAGGAAACACACACAAACATGCAGTTTTTTCCTTTTATATATTACCTCAAAAGAGAAGTTTGCAGTTAATCAAGTCAAAACTTTCCCATATGTGAAGTTGAAAGGATTTTCAAGAAATCTATGAGGAAAGTGTCCACGGATACACATGGCTTATGTCTGCGGCACATTCCCGGCATGTGCACGGCCCCAGATTGATCCCCAGTCTCATGTGGCACTGCTCCTGGCATATGCACACCCGCCCCGTCCCACTGAGTGTGGCCCCTGTTAAAAGAATCAGAGAAACAGCAATTGGATGCTCTGAACTGACCCCACTTACAGAACAGGTTGGAGAACTGAGAAGCTTGATCTGTGCGCAGTGTGACGACGTGGACATGTAGTTGGTATATTGAAGACTGTGCAGAGTTCAAGGGAAGAGGGGAAAAAAATCACACATACTGGGTGCATTGAAGGTGGAGGAGACTGTGAAATCAGTAATGTTCAGTAACTCGAACTCGGAATACAAAGTTCTGTAGTATTCTGGCTCTGTGAACGTATTCCGTAGAATGTAGTCAGACCTAGCAGGAATCCTTACAGCATCTTGCCTTCAGATGCCAGGTGTGAGATTGGGGGGTGTCCTTGTCTCCAAGATAGTCTGTTTGTGAAAGCTGTTAGCCCGCAGTTCAGCAGTTCAGCGCTTCGAAGCTGGGGCCCTTAGGAATAGCCAAGGGCGAATAGTGCGGGGTGGTGAGAGGAAGAATCCTGTGAGTGGGTGAGCGGGGGAGGAGCGGGCCTCGGTCAGAAAAAGGCTAAGAAACACGGACACAACTTAAATTGGACTTTGCCTCGAAAGCCTTCTTCATTCTATTTTTGTTTTTTGGGGCCATACCTGGTGGTGTTCGTGGCTTACTCGTGGCAGGCTCCGGCGACTGTATGGGGTACCAGGAATTGAACTTGGGTACAATTTTGAATTTGAATTGAATTGAATTGAAATTGGGTACAGTCTCTTTGGCCCTTGTATATTTTTAAACGTAGAACAAACCTCACGTCTTCTGTGACCATTGGCAGCAAAGTGAATTTATTTAGATGATTGAAATTCATGACCGGGGCCGGGGATGTTGGGAACAGTGCAGTTTTAAAAATGACTGAAAAATGATGTTTTCGCTTTGTTAGGTGTTCACAATGTGACTGCTTTGAGCAACCTAATAACGTGGCAGAAGGTGGATTACGATTTTAATTACCACCAAATGGAATTTCCCTGCAATATTAATGTTTTCATTACCTCGGAGGGGCGATCACTTCTGCCGGTAAGAGGAGCGGTTTCAAAGAGTGAGATTCATGGGGAAGAGATGATTCTGTTTTATGTTTCCTGGTATTGCTGATTATAAATAGTGATATTTGTTTCACACTGTGATTGCCAATTACTGCAATAGAGACAGATTGTTTTGTTCCTGCCGTTGGACGACCGTCTCACTACATAAAGAACCAGAGTGCAGCGGGAAGGCGCTTCGCTTTTTCCGTCCCCGGCCGCACAGATGACCCCTGAGCCTACCTGTAGTGAGCACAGAGCAAGGAGTGAGCCCCAAAATACCAAAGAGGGTGGGGAAAAAAGAACTAGGGAGCGGCAGTCCCCAGGAAGGAAGCTGCTGGCAGGGGACACGCCTCCGGGCACCGGCGGGTCTGTGAGCTGCTGGCCGGCAGCGGCCTCTGTTCTTGCTACTCTGACGGCCGCTGTCCCTTAGAAGCACTGGAGCACTTGCTCCTGGACCAGCTAGCGGTGGCTTTGTGAAAGGTCGGGCAAACTCATGTGACTGCTGAGAGCACTTTCTATTGAGTCTTCAGCCTGTTGTTTCAGAGGCAGTTTTCTGGTAGCCTCTGGGCTTGGGGAAAACAAGAGTAGAAATGCAAGGAGCCGCCGGTCAGTTTCCTAGGCAAGGGGTCCGCCATGTGCTCTGGGGGCAGCTCACCGTGACAGTCACGGAAGTGTCTCCCTGTAACTCGGCTGCTTTTCAGTCATCTCCCCTTGTTGAAGGAACAGTGTAAGCTAGAGCCGAGGGCATGTGTGCACTGTTGTAATTCCCTCGGAGGGACAGGCTGGTAGGGGAAGTTCCGTGTCGAGGTGTGGGGGACACTGTGTCTCTGCAGGCAGACTGCCAGATCCACCTGCAGCCGCAGCTCAGCCCTCCGAACATGGAGGAGTACATGTCCAGCCTGCTCTCCGCCGTGCTGCCGTCCGTGCTGAATAAGTTCCGCATCTACCTGACGCTTTTGAGGTTCCTGGATTATAGCATATCTGACGAGATAACCAAGGTAGGAGTGAGTTCAAGTCCAACACCGCCTTTGAGTTTGAACACTGGGTAAATTTACACTTGCTGTAATTGCTACTAAGCCGATCTTGCTACTTAATGATCTTTCCTGTCTTGTTTCTTTGTTTTCTTTCATCTGGAACAGCTGGTTCTGAGGGCCCATGTTAATTTCCACAGTTTCTGTGATGCGGTTCTAGTGGTTCCCCTGGATGCATCAGTTTGTATTCGGGGGCCCGAGCAGTGGACTTTGGTTTAATGTCATCGTTTAAATGCAATAGTTTACAAAACGTTTGCTCCTTATTAATTTCATTCCTTCTTTCCCCTGTGCTTTTGTGTTTGGGGGATACACTCTGTTGTTCTCAGGGCTCAAGGGTCACTCATGGCGTTGCTTGGGGGACCCTGTGTTTCTGGGTGTCAACCCCAGGCCTCCCGCATACAAAGCATGTGCTCCAGCCCTTCCAGCTGCCGCGCCCCACTCCCGCTGCCTTTTCTGGTGTGTAAATGGGGGCCCTTTCCAAGGGGGCTCTAGGGGCACCCAGCAGGACCCGGGGGTTAATGTTTGGCCCAGCTATGTGATGCTGAAGGCTGGCAGGGCCACACCTCGTAGGTGGGGAGTCGGACCACGTGGGACCTCCTGCATGCTGGGCACATGGGCGCCTCCTCTCTGTGCTCCCCTCCCACCCAGATCTGCGTTGTGTGCCAGCACACACGTGCCACCTTAATGCCACTGGACCAGGCGGGGGGGTGGAGCCGTCGGGTCGCTGCCCCGAGTGCTGCTCAGAGTGCTCCCTGCAGAAGCCCAGGCAGATAAGGGAAGTCACCCTTTTTTGCAGTGCCGGGGACCAGATTCTAGGCCTTATGCTTGCCAGCCGGCCTGTTGCCACTGAGCCACACGGCCACCCCGCCTCCTGCTGGTTCTGGATGCACCGTGCTGGTTTGAGAACAGGATTTTTGGCACACGGTGAATCCTTTTCCACTTTCAGGGCCTCTCTGTCTTTGACGGCTCACTGTCTCGTGTCAGTAGAAGTTTCTCAGAATTTCTCCTACTGAGGGTTTGTTGAGGTTTTGATGTGGGGCTGGAGCGATAGCACAGCGGTAGGGCGTTTGCCTTGCACGCAGCCAACACGGCCGACCCGAGTTCGATTCCTCCGCCCCTCTCGGAGAGCCCGGCAAGCTACCAAGAGTATTCGATATGCCAGACACAGTAACAACAAAGTCTCCAATGGAGACGTTACTGGGCCCGCTCGAGCAAATCGATGATCAACGGGAGGGCCTTTAAGTAATAACACAATTGGGGGAAATTTTCTTCAAGAAACGGGGTATGTTTTTGGTCATTGTTTTGATTCCTCTTCCCCCTCTCTCCTCACCCTTTGCCTCTCCTGCCGCACGTGTGGGGCAGCCTTGGGTGCTCTCAGCCGGGAGACTGCTCACTTCACTCCCTCCCCTGCCTCTGGCTGCAGCCAGGACTGACCGACTCGGCCTCCACTGGCCGGAGCGTGTGCTCTAGTCCGCCCTCAGTGCTTTCTCGTGAGCTCCTGGTTTCGGTTCTAGTCCTCAACTTCACAACTCGCGCCTGCTTTTTTTAAACTAAAAAAAATTCCTCTTCCTTTCCCTCTGTTAGTTTCTGTGGGGGCACCCACGGGGTGGGGGCTCGCCGTCTGCTGCTGAACTGCCTCAGGGCCCCCTATTTGCTTCCTCGGTGATTCCATCTCTTTATTGATCAGCTCTGCTTGGAGGGACCTCTGTGTGGCTTCCTTTTGCCTGGATGTAAGACAGTTGATTTCAGGCTTGGGGCTTGCAAGTTCGAAGTTTTGTTTCCTCAAGGTCAATTTCCATTTCTCCAGTGAAGAGGCCGCATGTCTGCACAGCTCTGAGGTTGGGGTGTTGAAGCCAGAGGCTTTGAGCAACATACTGTGGCCGCGCCGCCCCTCAGCTCTCTCCTCTGGGGTTGTCGTGGTGGCTGTGCAGTGAGAGAGGGCTCGGCCCTGAACGCTGGCGCTGAGATGCCTTCCTGCCTTGGTGTGGTCACTTCGTCCTCGGAGATTTGACTTCCTTTGCAGCTGCGAGCCTTGGGAGTGGAAGCCGGGGCCGGCCAGGCCTCAGCCATGCATCATGGTGCCCCTCCCCCCCGCCGTCTTGACCTTCTTTAGTGGCCACAGAGCCTTCAGTACTGCAGCCTAAAGGCCCAGGAGGTCAATGGAGAAAAGGTTTTCAAAGCCCCCCGTGAACACCATCTTATTTTCTATCCACTTCTGAGGCTTTGGGTTAGGTGCTGTTTGCCTTATTGTTCAGGGTCCGGGGCAGTGATGGTCAATAATGGCTCTTAATCGTTACGATAAATGTCCAGTATTCTGGGGCAGAGGGTGTTCACACTAGCCGGGCTCCAAGACCGTTGGAGGAAGAGACACTTTTGCAAATGGATCTTTTTGGCTCCTGTTGACGGACCGAGTGAGGCCAGTCCTCACTTGAGTCCAGCACTGGCCGCTGGGCTGGCCCTTTGCAGCATCTCAAAGCGGGGGCTTGGCAGGGATCGGGGTGGGGGAGTAGGGCAAGTTCACGAGTCTTACAACTTCTCAATTCTTACAAGATCAATTTGAGTAAATGGTCCCCCTACGTTGCTGGCAGAATCCTGTTAGTTCCCAGAGTTCAGTGGTTCTAATGCTGCCACTTTTGTTGACATCACTTTCCAAGGCATAACGTTTACATTGTCACAAGTGCTGACTGACATCTCATTTCCTGGCTGAATCTGAGCTCTATGACTTTGTTGATTCTTCTCGGGCTCAAGGGATCACATGAGAGGGAAGACCAGTACCTGCCCCCTGTACTTTTCTTCCAGCCCCAACACTTGGCCTGCAAGTGATCACTGCAGACCAACTTTGCTTTGGTCCCTGCAGATAAGGGCCTGTGAGTTTATCCAGGAGTACGGCCCAATCCCCTCCTCTCCCCAGAAAAGTACTCTAGTCATCTTATGGTGGTTGGGTTCATCATTCTTGGACCCGGGTGTTCTCATTTATCTGAGAGGCAGGGTTACTGGGCTCAGGTCCTTTCAACACTGTCTGTCTGCTCAGGGCCAGAGTTTACTGGGCTCATTTCTGCTTTGTAAGTGGGAGCTGCAGGTTCTATTCCTGGTACCACTTGGTCTCCAAGCAGAGCTGAGGTAGCCCCCCAGCACTGCCAGCAGTGGCCAAAAGATATTGACCGTTTATTTCTCCTTGATGCAGGCAGTGGAGGATGACTTTGTGGAAATGCGCAAGAACGATCCTCAGAGCATCACTGCTGACGATCTCCACCAGTTGCTTATTGTAGCCCGGTAAGATGTCACACATGGCGTTGCTTTTTCAGCAAGCATTGTCTGTATATGCATATCTCTGGTTTACTTCAGAACAACCAAGACGGACTTTATTTTTTTATATTTTAATTTTATTTGCTTTTTGGGTCATGCCCAGGGATGCTCAGAGCTTAACTCCTGGCTCTGCACTCAGGAGTTACTCTTGGCAGTGCGTGGGGGACCATATGGGATGCTGGGGATCGAACCCTGGTTGGCCATGTGCAAGTCAAACGCCCTGCCCACTGTGCTATCAGTCTGGGCCCCCCAATAGACTTTAAACCCTAGAAGCAAACTGACCTTTCAAACCGTCCGGAGAAGCATCTCCTTGAGGGAGACATGTGTGGCCTGAGGGGGGGTCTCGGCAGTGGGAGGCCTGAGCGTGGCAGAGGGCCACAGTAGAGGGGCCCGAGACCTCCTGAGCGAGCCCGTCACTGCCCATCTTGCCTCCTGGGTTCTCAAGAAAGGGCAGCTGACCTTGCCTGAGTTCCTCGGCTTGTCTAAGAAGTTGCTGTTCTCTCGGTCTGGATCTCACTCACTTTGTCCGTTTCCACCAGGTTTCTGTCTCTCAGCGCCGGCCAGACAACACTGTCGAGAGAGCGCTGGCTCAGAGCAAAGCAGCTGGAGTCCGTACGAAGAACCCGGCTCCAGCAGCAGAAGTGTGTCAACGGAAACGAACTCTAGAGGTCCGGCTGGCAGTGTAAGGCACACTGTAGCCATAGTATTGTAAAATTCAGTTATCATTTATACCACATTATTTTGTAGATAATTTGTATCAGAAACAAATGACTTTTCCTGAAATCAAGCCTGGTAACATCTGAAGTTTATATAATATTCAGTAAGGGCTTTTACCTTACTGGTTTTATGGAGTTTTGGAGTTTGTTTTGTAATTATATAAATTAGTAACAATGTACAAAAAATGTATTTGATATTAAAAAGTTTAATACTGATAATGTTGCTGATTATACCATTTCCTTAGCTTCAGCTAAGTCAGAGGCCAGACACTGTTGAAACGCTTATGTCCACCCCACTCGAAGGAAATGGGCAATTCCCATGCCAGGCCATTGGTTCCCTTCAGACACCCCCATCCCACCGGTGAGCAGTGGGGCTGGAGGTGGCGCAGGTGTGACTCATGGGGTGTGCCCGGGGCAGTGCAGGGGCCATGCGAAATTCTGAGGTGTTTCCCAGCATTTCATCACAGAAGCTTTTTATCCCTTTGAACAGTTGAGTTTGCAAAATGAGTCTTTTAGATGGTTAGTAGTTCCCAGGATTTTGGATCGAACATATCAGTAATACTTCCAAAAATTTGGGGGTCAGGGCTGCCCAACTTACTGATTTTTTTTCCTATAAGAGGACAATCCTAGAGAAAGAATACTTTGAATAAATGTAGCTTTTTAATAACAGTAACCCCAGTGCCATGGCATCGTCTTTATTTTACACACTTCTCCGCAGTGTAGTTGGAACCATTTTTGTGGCGCTTACAGGAATATTTCTCTGTAAAGTTGTTTTGCCCAAATATAAAAATAGCAGACTTTAAAGGAACAAAAATATCCTTACTCCCAGCTAGGAAGCAAATGACTGTAGTAAATTCTGGCATCAAAATCCTCTGGAAAGGCTAGAGCTTTATTTCAAGCTGTCGTGGTTATATATTTCTTCTTTACGCTGATAAAATTACCTGCTCGGAAATGAGTGATCACGTAAATGACTCCTTCCTTTCTCACACCCTTTCTCGCACCCATAAGGCTTCGTTTGGCCTTGCTAACCAAGGAAACAGGGTGAGCCGTGAAAAATCAAGGAATTTATTATGCCTAATGAACTGAAATGGAAATTAGTTGTTTAACATTGAACTTTTCCTAAACGCAAATCTATTTTTATAAACTAATGTAAATAATCTGTTTATACTTAGAATTCTAACTGGTTTTCATTTTTATAACTGCTAGACTAGACCTTCCTTAAGGTTTTAGAAGTAAAATGAAGACTCAACTGGATTTGTGAGATTGAAACTTTCTCTAATTGGCCTAGAACTAAGTAGATAGTTACCATGTGCTTATTGTGCCAATGTGAATTGTAATTTACCAAAGATGAATACGTCTTTGCTTGGTCTTGCAGAAAGTTCCCTTGAAAGGAAAACCCTCCTTCAAATAAATAATACTTCCGAAATTACTGGTCCTTGGAGCTCTTTCTCAAGAATTATGTAAGACTCATCCCAGGTGACCTTGTATTGGGGAAAGATCCACTCATTTTCTTGGTGGGAGATATGTGGGAGGTGGAGCTTCGTGGTATCCTCCATTGAGTCCCACTTCTAGGGGGAGAGTCTGGGGGGCTTCAGAGGCCCTTGCTCCCTCGCGGCCACAAGGGACATGTGTTTATTGAACTACATGTAGTGTGAATCTGATTTTATCAGGAGACTGAGCAGACATTAATACTCTGATGAGAACTATACAGCCCCTTAGTTTCAAAAATCTGTTTGGAACTAGTTCCTGTGGAAACCGGGGTGGCGGTGGGACCTGGGGGTTGGGTTACACTCTGGTGCTCAGAGGACTACACATGATGCCAGGGATTTGAACCAGGGTCAGAGCTGCAGGCCACAGCAGATGTCTTAACTGTACATTGTGGGTGGGGATGGGTCCCTTCCAGGTGGTTCTCAGGAGGTTCTGGGGCTCCACTGGCAATTCTTGGTCAACCAGGCTATGGGTTCATCGAAAGGGCCCAAGAATGTGATACAAAGATGTAAATAATTTATACTATCAGGCCCTGCAGTGCTGTGGGGGAGGAGACCATGTGGTGCTGGGAGTGAAACCCAGGCAGCAGGCACTGACTCCTGGATCTCCCAGCCCCTCGTGATGAAGTTGTTGAAGAGTCACGAAAACATTTCTAATGAGTAACCTGCCTGTAAAGTTGAATCCGACTTTAAGACCAACCTTAGGTATTGCTTACTCAAGGAATTCTCAGTACACATTACACATAGTCACTGTAAATTATAATGGTACTTTATTTTAAATAGTCACAACATTTGACACTTCAAAAAAAAAGATACCACTAATAAATAACATAAGTGGGAATACTTTATCAGAGTTACAACAGACATGTTTAGCCGAGAATTACTCTAAAGATACCAGACAAACCAATACTTGTTTGGAATATGCGCAATCTTCTTTCTTTCTGCGGGCTAGTAGAATAGGTCCTAGTTCCATGTGGCCAGGATTAGAGGAATCAATTCAGCACAGCTGTGCTTAGGACTAAAATAGTTGTGTAGTTTACATAAAATGCTAAGGAATGACCCTAGAAAGAATTACAATTTTAAGACTTTTAAGAATGATCAGGTGCCAACAAATTTAGTTAAAATTCCTGAAAACAAGCAGGGCTGCTATTGACATCTGATATATCAAGTTTTGTGTGACTGGAAAAATATACTCAAGACTTTAGGGTGTGCAAGGTGACATCATATTTTTAAGTTGTGTAAGTAGAATATTGGGAATGGGCATATTTCTTGACTGCAGTGCCAAAATCAACTATCAGAGATTGGTTAAATTATTAAAACTTGTTTTATTTATATTCAGATTTTTTTTCATACTAGTAATACTTCAGTCACTGAAAACCAAATATTTTTACCCAATAGAGGCAATACTCAGAAACTGACAACAAAGTGCTAGTTTCCTAAATATGATCATGCCAATTTTTATGTCAACTGCATACACTTTACCTATTCCACCAAAAAAAAGATTCGAGCTATTACATCCTCAGATAAACCAGTCCTGAATTCTTTTCAAAGGAAAACAAACTGTTCTGGTCTGTACATCCTAGGATGATGCACTTCTGTTATTCTCACTCCCGAATTGGGAAATCCACTCCAGTTCAGGCCCCTCTTACAACATTCCCCAACAGACATAATTAGAATTTTGTTATCCCTAGACTCAACGACACAGTACAAGTTAAAATAGCCTACTATGTGAAGTCTTTTGCGGGGAGGGTGGTGGTGTTTGGGCCACCCCCAGCCGTGCTCAGGGGCTATTCCTGTCTGCTCGGAGGACCATGTACCGGGGGCTGCACCAGGGTCAGCCATATGCAAGCTACATGCCTTAACCCCTGCACTCTCTCCAACCGGGAAGTCTTTTTTTCTACTGACTAAAAGCCACAGGATTCTCTCTGGTACGAAATCAAATCTGGATTATTCGCGTCTGGCATTGTGTAAACATATTTCTAAGTTCATTTTGTTGGACTTCATTGATCATTTCGGGTTCTGCGGGGCTCTTCTGGACCTTCGCCACTGCAAAGTTGATGCCCTGGGTGAGTCCTGCTTGGGTAATACTAGCGACCTGGACCATGGAGCTCCGAATCTTGGCAAAGGGGGAGACGGCTCTGCTGCTACTGCTTTCTGAAGGAGAAGGAGTTAGGTGAAGGCCTGTCTCGAGTTCGAGCAGGCTGGATCCAGAGCCTGGGGTCTTTTGAGATACCACTGCATGTGCGGGTTCGACGGACAGAAACTGGGGGCCTGCTGCAGAAGACGACACATCTAACTGCGATGGACGGGATGGTGTCTGTCCCGTCGACTCCGATCGGGTTTCTTCATGAGGAACCCGATGGGTCGCGGGATTCCCTTCCTCACCAGCCTGCTGAGAAGCGGACCTGCTCTCCGCTCGCTGGATCATTTTGTTCTGTGCGTCTTGTACAAACCTGTGGCAGTAGATCTCCATTGGCTTGGCACAACCAGTCAGTCTGTGTATGTGGTCGGCTGAAGGACTTTTCTTCAACGGAGACGTGTGGCCTTTTTCCAGCCCACTGCCAGGAATGCCGCCCTCAGCGCTGCTAATGGACTGGGATCGACTGCCTAATCGCGGTGCCGACGCAATAATCCCACAGCTGGGAAGAACATAGTCTACCGGACCTACATTCTCTAAAGAGCTGGCTAACTGCCGGTCTTCATCAGACCTGGAATTGGTAAGGAATTCATCGGAGTGGTAGGAGTCGTTCTCGGAAGATGCTTCCCCATCGGACTCCGCCTGGATCTTACTATCCACCACACCTGCGTTTTCCATGGTCTCAAGGCTACTGTCTGATTTCCAAAGATTGACTTTTAAATTTGGTTTAAGAAAGTTAACTTTCACTTCAGGTTTGGCAAAGTTGCCTAGTTTTCGTAGATTGCCAATGCTTACATTGGATTTTGTCTGTTTCACTTTTTGATTTAGAGATGAAAACTTGCTCATTAGAAATTTTTTTCCTTGGGCTAGAGAGCCTTGGTTTTGAGACCGAATGCCAATGATGTCTTCATGTGGTTTACTGCTCTTTCTAAAAATCGAGGTGGGAAAAAAGTTTTAATTCCCTATCAAGTCTATAAGTGAATAATATGCTTATTTAAACTGGGCCCAACTTTTCCTGAAAACTGTGTGCTGCTATTAAACAATTAACCCCCTGGAATTTCTGCTAGAACTTACCTTATCCAAAGAAGAGTGAAGATTGCTAGGAGCCAGCCATATTAAAGAAAGGCAAAATTCGACTTTAACAGTAATTTTCTTTTAGCCCCACATTTAAAAAAAGACATCTGAACAACTGCAAAGGCAACAATATTCATGATAGGAATCAATAGCATCTTCACAAAAAATTGCCAACACTCCCATTCCCAACGGGCCAACTCAGGTGTCAGAGGGGAGAATTCCATCTGACATGACTATCTTAAGGTTTGCTCTTTGGTATCCTTCTGACCACCAGAAACAAAGTCAGGTTGTGTTCAACCTCACTTAGGTGGATCACTGGCCATCACAGTATATCGATACATTATTAGGGGCTGGAGAAATAGTTCAGGGCCATGTGGCCGATCCTAATTCAATCTCTGGCACCACTGTAAGACAGTAAGTGCTTTACTGCTAAGCCACGCCCCAACCCACACCCACAGATTTTAAATGTAAGAGTTTATGACAAGGGCCTCCTTTCACAGACTCATAAAGCCCTAGTGTTAAAGCACGTCTATATACTTTATCCTTCCTCAGTTTTTTATAAATATGAATCCCAACTCAGAAAAAAAAATCCATTTTTTGCCTTTAAAAAATATATATCAGTTTGGGGCCAGAGAAAGAACAATGGGTAGAGTGCTTGCCTTGCACACCGCTGACCTGGATTCGATCCTTGGCATCCTAGGGTCCCCTGAGCCAAGTGATTCCTCACTGCAGAGGTGTGAGCCTTGAAGGTGACTGGGTGTGGCCAAAAACCCCTACATCCCTGCTGCCCCAGGTGTGTGTGTTGTGTGTGCGCGCATGTGTGTGCGTGTCAAAACCCCTACCTCCCTGCTCCCCCCTGCGCTCCCCTCTCCTGTGTGCTAAGCACTGCTGGGTGTGGTCCAAATAACAAAAAGTCTTGCTTCTTTTATCAACAGCAAAATGATCTTTGCTTTTCTTACTATCAACCCATCACATGATGTGATTCCTCCTGTCTGCGAATACATCTAAAGAAGTAAAGGCTGAATAATGCTTCTTTATTCTTGAGAGAAAAGCCGAAGGATACTTGCCTCTCGAGTTTTTTCTCCAGGATTGGTACATCTGACCCCATTGCTTGCTTGGTGATCCGCAGCATCTCTGCGATGCACTGCAGGGTATCTGAAACACAGAGCAGCCTGCTGGCAAGAGCACTTCTCACTGGGGAGCCTGAAAGCCATTTGTAGTCTTCAGATTTATTCCTTTCATTTAGGGAAAGCTGCTACTTGTTCATTAATACTTCCTAGTTTACATGTTTACTATGTTTCCAAATGGATGGAGAGATAGTATAGCGGGTAGGGGGCTTGGTTCACCCGTGGTCAATCTAGGTTCGATCCCTAGTACCCCAAGCCCAGCACCCCCAGGCTTGATTCCTGACTGCAGGAGTCAGCTTTAAGCAGTGTTGGATTGTGGCCCAAAACAAAACACAAAAAGTTCTGAAACTAAAAGTGGAGCAAAAGGCCCAATTCCTTTTGTGTGTGGTCAGAAAACACTTCCACTCAGCAAGCCTAACAAAATTCCCAGGAGATTCCCTTGGCCCAAACTTTATCATCAATTCAGGTAACTGCCCTGCACCAGTGGGAGTCAAGTGGCTGCTGCAAGACACCAAACTGCCAAACTGCTTCCTAAGGGCTTCAGTGGCTAATGGTATGGAGGCGCCAAGTTCACGTGGGCTTGTAAGAGCGGACAGAAAATCAATG